TGGAGAAGTTTTTGAAAAAAAATGTGAGGTCTGAACCTAAGGAGTTGACTAGGATACGGGTCTCTCCAAAGATATTCTCTGATATGGTTTTGTCACTCTCTGACTCCCAAAAAGAATGGGTGAGACTACCTAGACTTGGAGGTCTTTTACAATTTGGATTAAAGGAACTGCCACATATGTTGGGATACCAGATTCTGTAGTCCTTTGACAGTGAATCCGTTGCGCTTAATCTTCCCAGAGGATCAATAAGTATCACAGAGGAAGATGTACATCAAGTGATGGGATTACCTCTGGGAAGGAAGCGTATACCAGCCTCTAGTATTGGGAAGTCATCATTGGTGGATGAATGGAGGGCTCAATTCACAGACAGATTTGATTGGAAAATTACTCCAGGGGTTGTGTCTGAGAAACTGAAGCAGAGTTCTGATGTTAACCTGTTTTTTAAACTGAATTTCTTGGTTCTCTTTCACAATAGCATGATCCAGTCGCTTAGCAATCCGTATGTCAACCAACAGATTCTAGTTCTTGGTGACAATGTTGATCAGTGCTCTGAATACAATTGGTGTTCCAGTGCTCTGAATACAATTGGTGTTCTTTCTTGCTTGACTCAATGATAGAAAGCCAACACAAGTGGAAGGTTGACCCGACAAAACAATTCTACACGGGTCCTCTTGCATTCTTGATTGTAAGTCACTTGTATAATATTGATTTATTTTTACATTACTGTAGTTAAAGTAGTTTTACTTGATGATTACTAATTGGTGTGCTTTATTTCTTATCTCCGTCTTTCTAGCTGTTCTATGCCGATCGGGTTCTGTTCAAAGGGAGGAGGTTGGTTGAGAGAACAACCCCTACATTTTTAGGCTGGACTGACTTGGCCTTGAAGGAAAGACAGTCAGAGGAAATAAGTACAAATTCATTTGGCAAAGGTGCATTTACAGAGAGGGTTGAACTTGCACCTTCATCTCGAATGCAGATTGCTACTGGAAACTCGCCTAAAAGTGTTGATACAATTAGAAAGGTTAGCAAATTAAGTTGCAAGTCTTTGTTTATTCAATTTAATCTCAATTATTAAGTTGCAAGTCTTTGTTTATTCAATTTAATCTCAATTCAGTAGGAGTGAATCTCGATTCACTTAAACTGAATGTCGTTTCAGTAGAATGAATCGTTTTACTAGTAATGAATCTCATTTCAGATCAGTGATTATTGATTAAGTTAAACTGAATTCCGATTCACTTAAGTGAATCTGGATTGAATGATACTTAATATCAATTTACTGAAGTGAATCTGGATTCACTACTACTGAATCTCGATTCACTAAAGTGAAACTGGAATTATTTTAGTCGACTCTGGATTCAGTCATTTGAATCTTGATACAAATACATTGAATGTAATCTCAATCTATCGAATCTTGTCTCTCGCCATGTTAATAATTTATGGTGACCAATGTCTGTGATATTCAAACTGCAGGATTGTATTGAGAGGGTTCAACGGAGAGCTGCAGAGTTGGAATATGCAAAAGATAGATATGATGCTGAGTGTGAGACAATGAGAAAGCTGTTCCCCAATGACAATGAGCTCTTTCAAATTCAACAGAGAGTTTCAAATGTTCTTGTGCAGGGGTGTGGACATCGTGTAAGTACCTGTGATGATGAAACAGCTGTGGGAAACATTGTTGATAATACCCCTAATGTGAACACCAAGGTGAGTAGAGATATGCATGGTTCCCCTGCTGTTGATCCAATATCAGCTGAGATACCACAAACACAAGTCTCCCCAAAGTTTATTCAAGAAGTTGATAAGAATATAGTCTGTTAGCATGAAAAAAGTTGACAGACCAGTGAGGCGGAAGCTCAGCGAATGTGGTACCCCACAGACTAAAGAACCTAGTTTTTCTCTTGGGCTGACACAGGATATTCAAACTGAGACAGTGGAAATGGTTGATGTTGTTCAGATTGCTAAAGCTTGTGAATATGAAATCATTGATGACTCTGTACGAAGAACAGATAAACAAGCTGAAGATGCTGCTGCAGTAGATGAATGTAAAGGTAAGAAAGTTCAGGTGACCGAAAATAAGGGACATGCGGGAAGGGGGAAGAAAAAAGGATGGTGAAGCCTGCAACGTCTCTTCGGTCACCATGGGTGCAGAGGGTATCTCAGATTACAGCTAGGCAAAGTCAGCTGGAAAGCATCATATGGAATTGGGTACATAGAGAAGAAGCAAGGCATTCAGGAGATGATTCTGCTGAAGAAGAGAATTTGTGAGTTCTTAAATCTTAGTTGATATTTTATTTTTAGGTGTGAGACTCACTGTTTTTAGTATTTTGTCCCTTTATTAAATTGAATATTATTACTGTTTTTTTAGTGAAATGGTTTTTAAGTGGAGACAAATTGAATGTTTCTTACCTGCTTTCAAGAATTTCCTTCCTGCAGAGGACATTGAGGCAAATGTAATCAGCATTTGGTCCTATATTTTGAACAACAGAGAAAAAATAAAGTCCGAAAATTCTCCACTTAGATTCTTCTGCAATGTTGAGACAACCGTACGTATCTTCCTTTATTTTATTTAAAATAACACTTGAGTTACATCTTATTTAACCAGTTTTATGTTGTACAGTTTTGCAACATTCATCACTTTAAAATAACACTTGAGTTACATCTTATTTAACCAGTTTTATGTTGTACAGTTTTGCAACATTCATCACGCAGATGAGGCCAATGATGAATTGAGATACAGTCGGTTTGCTTCCTGGATGGCTGAGCAACTTGCTCTATATCCACATATGAAGTTTAATGAGATTGATATGGTAAAGATTCGAAGACCATGTTTTTGTTCTTTAACCCAATTTTAACTATATCTGTAAAATCTCTGATTAAATTTCACAACCATTAGGTCTTCTTCCCCATAAATGCATTTGAGCATTTCTACATTGTGTGCTATGGGCTAAAGAATCCAAGTATGGAGCTGATTGACAATAGCAAAAACTACCCAGACTACAAGGAAAAATACCAAGGTCGTCCCGAGGGTTTGGTATGTTTTTCCACCTTACGTATGTTCTTTAAATATTTACTGGCAGAATACAGTAATAAGTGAATCTGGATTCACTAGAGTCAGAGAATTCCAGATTTGCTAACTCTAGTGAATCTCGATCACTAGAGTTAGTGAATCTGGATTCACATCTTACTATAAATCTCGATTCAGTAGAGCTAGTGAATCTATGTTCACATCACGTAATTAAGATCCACTAGCTATAACTAGTAATCTGAAATCTCGATCAATAGAGCTAGTGAATCTGTGTTAACATCACGTAATCACGATCCACTAGCTATAGATAATTCTAGTGAATCCAGATTCACTAGTGTGAATCCAGATTCATTAGAGTGAGTCCAGGTGAACTAACTCTATTAAATCCTAGCAAGCTAGATCCAATGAATCGTGATTCACTATCATTAATATTGTTTCCATATAAACAACCAAAACAATTTGTATATTACATTAAACATTACTGTATAATAATTTGGATTCGTTATGTGACACTGATTACTTTTGATTAAACAGCACCAGAATTTTGTGAGATATTTGGCACACAAAAAACATCACAAGGCGAGTGACATAAATACATTAACGCCTGACAGACTTGAGATGGAGTGGAGAACAGCCAAAAACAAATTTGATTGTGATATTTTTGTCACGAGACATATGGAGACCTACATAGGCGGTGGTACAGCAAATTGGAACTCTGGTTTTCATAGAGAGGGTGTAAGTGTTTAGAATATAGCTACTGAATCAAATAAGATTTACGGTTAGTCTTTTTGAATTAATAAAATTTAGAATATAGCTACTGAATCTTGAACTGAACTTTTGTACATATCGACAGGAGCGATTAAAAAATCAGCTACATAGACTGAGGTCTATATACTATTGCCAAATTCTTACTGAACTAACAAATGAATTGGCCAAAGAAGTCATCAGCAAAGCCCAACAACACCATGCTGAAACTGCCAATGTCAAAAAAGAGACGAGGAAGACCCCAAGATCTCAAAGAAAATGATATTCTGTAATCACCATAATTTTCAATGTTGAAGTTTACAGTTATTAAGTACATTGTCACTTAATGTTATAGAATACTCCAGTTTGTGTTGAACTGCTTTTCTATGTAAATATACTTTATAAGAATAGCTTTGTCATAATTTTATTTCTAGATTTGTGAATAGTTTGGATATATGAAAATACTGTGAAGGTATTCAATGCAATTGGAAGAATTTCGATTTAAGCAGAGAATGTGATTTATAATTCAAGGTTTTATGTAACATAAAATAAATTAATCATACTTATTGTGGATTGTATGTATTTAATCTGGAATCACTGTTTCAATATTATCTTAAGTTATTACTAATTTATTTGATTGAAACTAGATTCACTATAGTGAATCTAGATTCAATACAGTGAATCTCGATTCACTACACTGAAAAATTCAGTAAGTCAATATTATCTTAAGTTTTTAATAATTTATTTGATTGAAAATAGATTCACTATACTGAATCCATATTCAGTTCAGTGAATACAGATTCACTACAATGAATCTATATTCATTATAGTTAATCCAGAATCACTTAAACCGAAACAACCAAATAATTTGATTGTTTGATTGATTATAATGAATCCCTATAGTGATATGGAGATTCAATATCAGTGAATCTAGATTCACTATGATGAATCTAGATTCAATATAGTTAGTCCAGAATCACTTAAAGCGAATCAAATTTAAACTGATGACTGCATACAACTACTTTATCATTCCTTTTGAAATAATACAACTAATAATAATGGAATTCACATGCTATATGAGTAGATCTCAATTCAATATACTAACATGACACAACGTAACCATGTAATTAATAATCTAGTAAATATATGTCGTTAAGAATTACACAATTCAGCAATTCTAATAAGAAATGTATTACTAAACATGATTTTGAAACGAAATATGACAACTAAATTAAACATCACTCTGCTGTATTGTTTTCTTTAATGGGCATGTCCGTGCGTTATGGAAATCGATTTTTTTGCACATATTACACAGCCTTGGCACCTTCTTCTTTCGTTGACTAATTAATTTCTCATAATCACCAACAATTCTCCGTCCACACCCCTTGTTTCTACCTTCAATGGGAAGTTTAACGATCATTTCCGCTGGTATTTTTGAGCCAACAAAAAACTCCATTACATCATTTTTGTTCTGTGTGTCAGATTTCCAACTAGATTCACGCAAACTGTGCTTCAACTCCTTCAACTTCCCTTCCAGGTAGTCAAGTCTCTCACCATCTAAACCTGCCAAACTCACACAGGATTGGAAATCATACCATATGTCATTCAACTTGTGATTTGTAACTTCAATTGCATTGCACTGTTCTGATATTTCCTTGAACTGCAATGAATGCCTCATCTCAGCACCTTTTGTCCATCGGTTCACAACAAGATGTCTTGGTATTTTTGTTACATCAGCTTGGTTCAGTGCAAAAAAACCATGTCTACATACTATACCCATTTTCTCAAACAGCCTACACGTACATTGCACGTCATTGTTCAAATAAGCGTGTTTCACCTAAAATTCAAAAAAAAAATGTATATTAGCACCGAATAAAAAAAGAAAATGACAAGCGAATGAAATGGTCACTGAATCTCGATTCAGTGGTGTGAATCGAGATTCACTTCGTTGAATCGTGATTCATTGCATTGAATCTGGATTCAATTTTTATTGTTTTAATCTTCATTATTAAGTTTTACCTCAAATATTTTTCCATGTCTCTTTTTGTCCTTTAAGGAAAAAATCTTCACACCATCTTCTTCTGATATACTGTTGATACTCATATCATAACAGGATGACATTATCTCTTTCTGTACCTCATAAAACATTGTTCGAGTGTACAACTCTGCTGCATCCCTCTCCAATAACAATGACGTGTCCGTTCTTGGCATCGACTTTGTTCCTTCATAGTTTAATCTTGCATTTGTATGCCTTTGCTTCTCCATAGCACTCTCGTATCGGAGATAAAATTTTGTCAATGTGTCAGATCTACGGTTGAATTTGTCAAAGAAACTGTTCTCACTCTCTGTGATGTAATACGTAATAAACCAGCCATTGGATCATCAGCATAATAGGCTAGAATCCATGACTCCCGAATGTTATACAGTTCACACAACCATTCATTACTTTCAAGCTTAAATTCTTTCATAACATCTTTCCAACCTACTTCAAATGTTGCTGGATCTATATCTATACTCCAAATCAGTGCATTTATCTTCCTCATGAAATCATCCATCTTCGAAATGCATTTTGCCAACTACAATATAAATATATAACGAAAGATTCAGTATTTATCTAATAAGGCCCCATGTTGACTTTTGCAAGTTATATGTTTTGTAAGTTAATGAAATCATCCATCTTCCAAGTTATATGTTTTGTTAGGCCCCATGTTGGCTTTTGCTCCATCAAATACAAGTTTCTTATGTGCGAGACCGAGAACTCTATTTGACTTCAAAAATTGTTTCCCACTACCGGAGGCCAAAAAATGAGAATGCTCTTCAACGAATGAGAGAACATTATATCCTTTCAAACCATCAAACTTAAAAACGACTTTAACTTTGCAACCACATCTACTAGATACAGTTCTCCTTCTCTTTTTTGAACTGCTACTAAAATCCTCAAAATCAACATCCATCTTTGATTCATTGCTGCCAGCTCTACTGCAAACAATGTTTCAGATTCACTACAGTAAACATGTGAATTCAGTTGAACACGTTCTAGTTGTTAGAGTATGCAGTGATTTTCATAATGTATTCACATGTTTACTGTAATGAATTTGGATTCAATGCATTGAATCCAGATTCACTACATTAAACATGTGAATACATTATGAAAATCACTGCATACTCTAACAACTAGAACATGTTCAACTGAATTCAAGCTCTCCAACTAAATTTACATAAAATGTTTACGAATGTAAACTCCTAGATAATAAGTCATATGACTAAGTTTTGATATACTGAATCTGGATCCATTACAATGAATCTAGATTCACTGGAGTGAATCTTGATTAACTGCATTGAATTCATGTTATTGCTAATTAATCTAGAGTGAAACTCGATTCACTGCATTGAATCCAGATTCACTACAGTAAACAAGTGAATAAATTATGAAAATCACTGTAGTCTCTAACAATGAATCTCGATTCAATGCAGTGAATCTAGATTAACAACTAGAACGTGTTCAATTGAATTCAAGCTCTCCATTTAAATCTCCAAAAAATATTTAAGAATGTAAGCTCCTAGATAATAAGTCATATGACTAAGTATTGAAATACTAAATCTGGATCGATTACAATAAAAACAACTAGAACCTGCTCACCTGAATTCAAGCTCTCCATTTAAATCTCCATAAAATGTTTAAGAATGGCCAGATAATGGACGATGAATGAGAGAGCCCAAATACGATGAAGGACAGATGAACAAGAGAGCTGAAGGACAGATGAACGAGAAAGCTGAAGGACGATGAAGCTGGTTGTGGAGTGACTAGAAGACGATTTCTCGATGGAGAAAGAGCTGAAGGATGATGAACGAGAGATGCTGGTTGTGGAGTGAGAGGACTGATGTTCGTGACTGTTGGGTTGCCTGAGCCGTGAGATTGCATGGGGAAATGGAGAACTCAACAGACAAGCATCAATTACCTCTCTTTAGGGGCTGTTTATTTTACCTGATTACCCTTATGCAGCTTTAATCTCAGTCATTGGATGAATCTAGATCCAATGGAGAGGATTGGTTTTTAGTTTTTAGGATAGTAAGGTTTTTATTTGAACCTCTCCATATATATAAATACATATATATATATATA